TCCGACTTTGGAAATGATTATGCATACAATGGACTCAGGACAAGGTGCGTTCCTCTAAGTCTTTCTACCAATATAACCGAGTTGCGAAAATAAAATCAAACAGCTTCTATAGAACGAAAAGAAACTGCGACCACACAAAAGGCTTCACTATCTTGGTCTTCATACCTTTGATAAATTTTTGTTTACAACGGATAATCCTGAGCAAGAGTCTAGCCTAAAAGCGTAATCCACGTATTTTATCTGATTTTTTTTTCAGTGGATTATACTTCCCTATCAGGTGGTCACAGTTGCACGGAAACAACAGGTAGCATGGCCGGAGGAGCACTGCCTACTTTGGTTCCAAACATGCAAAAAGTAGGATTGCGCTACGACGGAACAGCTCAGCCGATTACAACGCCCCCCCCGTACAGTGCATACCCAAACCAGACGATACCGGTTCCAAGCACCGCTTATTCTTCTCTTGCTACTCAAAACACTTTGATGGCAACTGGAAAAATCAAAAAATTCAATATAGATATCGCCAACGTCCAGGAGGCAAACCAGATTGACCCTTCAATTTCAGTACTCAAGGCCTATATCACTGGTACGCATGGTGAGGAAGAAGAGAATAAAAATGAAAGAGATCATAATGACAAGAGCCTACAATCGAATCACTTGCGTGAAAAAAGGCAAATAAATAGGAAGGGCGAAGAGGACTCGTTAATGAAGACTCTAGAAACAGGACATGAGGCGCGAGGGTCAGAACAAAGCACACAGAGGTCATCCCAGCAAAGAGAGAACAGAAACGCAAGTTGGAAGCCATGCCTAGCAGATGCATATTCACAAAATAGCTTTGTGTAGCAGGGACATGAAACGGCTATGGAGCAAAATGACGGTTGTATTTGCACAACGATGCATCAATATGAACACCAGCAAGCAAGTACTCTAAGTATGCGTACGAAATTCATCTCTTGTTAAGATAGTATATGCATATATATGTATATATATATATATATATATATAATC